GGCCATGCGCAACAGCACAGGCACCAAGCTGTAGAACAGGCAGAGGGCCAGAGTGTAGCCGACCAGGTATCCGGCAGCGGCGCCGTCCCACGTCGCCTCTTGGAAGGACTGGCGATCAAAAATGGCAGCTTGCACGCCGTTGATGCACATTCCCCACATGCCCATGAAAGCGAGAACCTCATAGACGGGACGCTTGCTGACGAACCACTCCTCAGTGACGTTGGTGACACCGTAAAGCGTGGCACCCAGCAGAGCGAAGAGATCGCCCTTCAACAGATCTACACCAGGACCGCCGTTGGAACCAGTGATGTGGTCAGAGGCCAGAAGGACACCGCATCCACCGATGGCAACGATGATACCAAGGATCTGGAAGATCTTGTAGCGCACCTTCAGAAGGGTGAAGGAGAGGATGATGACGATGACAATGGCCCAGAAGTTGAGTAGCTGAGCCGACAGGATGTTGGTGTAGCGGTATGCCAGAACCGTGAAGTAGTTGCCCTCAACGTCAAGGAACGAGAGGATGAAGTACTTCCAGCCGTCCTTGAGCAGGATCTTGGCCCATCTCTTGACTCCATAGTGCCAGATGGTAATGGGGAAGTAGATGAGGAAGAGGAGGATGTAGTTGAAGACAGTCTGGAAGGCCGGGATCGAAACACCATTCGTGGACAGGAGGTTGGTGAAGGTGTTCGTCGAGGTGATGCACAAGGCGAGGATCTGGCCGATGACAAGGACGATCCAGAAGTCGACGGTGGTGAAGTAGCTCCACCAGTGGACTTTTTGCGCTTCGATGTTCTGCAGACCCTGGTTGACCAGCTCAGACTCGTCGATGCCACCGGTGATCTGCGTCGTCGTCACCGGGGAGTGATCGAGGTTCTTGGGGGTGTCTTCAGCGGCCATCGTGGGCAATGGTTCGTAGGCGTGTCTCTCTCGTTGAGGATCGGAGGTTCTGGAGGTGGTGAAAGGCAATCGCGACAGCGGTAGCGACAGTACGGACTCGATTCGTGAGGCAACGCCTGGCATACAACCTGGCGATGCGGTCAGCCGCTGTCGCACACAATGTGAGAGGGTACTATCTCATTTCGTTCGACATACCTACGTACAAGCTCGGTCAGACGATGTCGTTCGCGCGACAGGTCTCAGTCTCCAGTTGAGATGTCTTGTCGCGATAAGTGGTGATTCACGTGAATAACACTGCTATTCGGTCTTTCTCGTCCCCTGTCAGCAAGCGCAAAGACTCAAAGTCGCCTGCTGGTGATTCTATCTTGCGATAGAACGGCACATAGACCGATGCGCCGGGAAGTGGTAGCTGAAGAAGTCGGCCGAGATGGCGCGCAACATATGATTGTCGTCCAAGAGCTTGGAGCTGGTGGTGTTGTGAGCAGATTACGGGAGACAGCGATGGCCTGTCTTCCTTTGGGCAGCGCGTGACGGATCTGGTCGCAATCGAGACCGGCGCAAAACTCTCAGTCGCAAGAGGAGGGGGACCAGAGGTGGTGAGAGGTGAGGCTAGACGGCGACGGGAGGAATTTATCGAGGTGACATCCCAGCATCAGCCAACAAAAAAGAAAAGGGAAAAAACTTTCAGGTGCTAGGGGAGCTTGCGCTATCCATTATCGCTAACTGCAAGGTATCGCGCCAGTGACAGGGTGGGAGGTGGGGAGCTTCTTCAGTTGCCACGAGGGTTGGGTGGTCTGCATGTGACGTTCCGCACGCCTGACTGGCCAGCCACTGTGAACTGGCCCGGACCAACACACCGCAACCGGCCCAGGAAGGCGGAACCGGCCGACTCCCCCTCCTCCAGTGGACGGTGCGCCGGCGAACCTGCCTTTCAGAGACCAACATCCCCGTCCATCACCCAGTCCGCCGCGTTCTGGCTCGCTCCAGGAGGGGCACCTGGTCCGTGTTAGTGCCCTTTTGGCAGGCGTTAAGGTCCGATGGTGGGGGCCGCACCGAGGGCGGGTGGGCGGCAGCCGCGGGGTCCCAAATCCTTCCTTGCATCCCTTGCGAATCCTCCCGACCTCCAACATCCCGACGGCGCGGCGTGATCTGACATGGCGTCGAAGCTGAAAACTCCAAAGTCAACCACCAGGTTGGGTCGGTGTCGATTGGCTGAAATTCTGAGGTTTCCCGCGTGGATGGCTCAGGTCGGGTAATGTGGCTGCGATAGCTGCACATACGCCAAGACCTTAGCTGCCCATCGTTGAAATCACACATAAATCATGCATTTTGATGATAATAACATTGACCTTGGCTAGTTGCAAATTTCCGATTTGAACTATCCAAGTCCGAGAAAACAGCAGTTCTCTACGCTGAGTTGTTCATCTGCCTCATCATCTTCCTGCACAATCTTAGAACAAGACATGCGACCAAGTATACCATGAACAGGCCTGACGTCATGCAGCAAGTGATCCAAGCTCTTTTGGACGAGCACCACGACGCTGGACTGTAGATTATCCAGCCATAAAGACCATGAATGGACACCGCAAACAACCAGAGGAACCCCTGAACACAGCGACCTTGTGAAACATCGACGTTCAACTGGCTGTTGTCCGTCAATGACCCGAACAGAATGATCGACACGCCTGCAGATACATAGCTAGGAGCAGCTAGGTAGAAAATCCCCTTGATTTTGGATGGATTCGGAGTAACTCCAAGTCCATGTGACGCTACACTGGAGGCAAATATGCCAAACATTGTTATCAGAGGCGCGGCAAGGAGTAGGACTGACAGCACTTGGCCAAACTGCCAACGCGGGTCCTCAAGTTCCGTATTGGCCTGGCTGTCAGTATTCGGTACGTTTGGAGGATCGAGGGGCAAAGAAAGGGAGCTCTTGAGCTTCGCTGTGCCCCAGAGGAGAAGTGCAAGCAGCCAAAGCAACTAACACCACGCTGATCGAATCAGGGGAACATCCCCTCCCGACTGCCCGAACGGACGGTTTGGACTGTAGATTGATGATCCGCATGAGACTGAGAAGAAGCAGATCACGGGTGATCCCGGGTAAGCTGCGGTGCCACCCATTTTCGACTCCTCGCCCTTCGGTATGCGCCAGTTGAAGAAGATCGTTGGCACCATTGCCACAAGGAGCATGACCACCAGAATAAACGTGAAGAAGACTCTGGTATACCTCTGTAATGGGTGGATATGCAAGTAGTCCCGAAGGATGACCAACCCCGAGAAATTGGGCATGCATGAGAACCAGGCAATATAGACGATAACCTCCCAGTGGTGGGCTGCCAGTCTCTCATCCATGGAGATAAACCCACTCATCAGAAGGCTGATACCGGCGATTACCTGAATGTCGCACATGTTAATTATGGACTGGCAACAAAACTTTCAGTTTAAAGACTCCCACACGACTCGTTTTAGATTCTTACACACCTTGTTAAAGCAGTCTTGCATCCGGACTGACAATTCATCTCTGATAACAAGGGACGACATTCGGCAACATTTCAGGACGAATCTTGTTGTTCTTCGAATCAAAGCCAGAACAATCGTATCGACTGGGTTCGGCTTCCAATCCAGCCTCATGCTTGTCGATGACATATCGCCTGCTGTAGTAGTTCTTCGGCTTAAAGGGGGTTTGTCCGGTTTGCATGCCACAAGGTAATAAATGACGAGGAGAATAAAAACGATATATGCTGTTCCAATGAAGCCAATGACTACCTGCATAACAATCAGAGATAGCTTTAAAAGCCAAGAAATGTGTTGAGACGGTCCCTGCCTCGCCACAACGTACCCCAAAGCCTGCTATGTCACTGTATGGTGCCGGGAAAAACCCCGTGTCGTTGCAATTGATGTTCAATGGGCAACCCGACATGACTGCCAATTAGCTATAGGATGCTTACAGGACTGTTTCAGCTTCAAAGACTTCGAGATATGTCGGCTGGATGATAATAAGAAGAAGGGAAGATAATTGCTCCTCAGTTGTGGAGCCAAGGCTTCATCTCCACAGCCGGCTCTTCGAACACAACATAGAAATACTCGATGAGGCTCTTCAGGTTGTGAGAGACCACAACCGGTGAGTGTTTATGCACAAACAACCTGCATGTTTGACCAACTCACCGAGGTCAGACAGCATAGACTGGTCTCGACTGCTTACCGTAGCATAAGCAGGACCGTTATTGTGTAGCACATCTACCCAACCGCATGCTCTGGAATGACAAGTCTGATTCCGTCTTAATCTCGGCGCATTTCGAATGTGCAAGCTTTCTGGTCATTTTGACAAAATTTCATAGCACAAGCAGCATAATCATTATTCAGCGGTGCGAGCAGTTGGTGCGATTATCAGTCAACCGACCACACGTTGAGAAGCACAGCATTTGCTTTCGATTCTATTCTTTGTCACTTGCATGTTAAAGGGCTTGCTAAAGACATGTTTATTTTACCAGAATCATCTACTGAGGCTCTTGAATTGACATACTGCCTTCTTAACCAATCTCTGCCGATCCCTAGACGGACCTGCCAAAACATCCACGCCGTACGAGAGGGCAAGTCACGGCATCCTCGTGAGCTACTTCACTGCGTCAGTCGCCAGAAAGAGCAGGAATACTTTAGATAGTTTGCTTTCAAGTTCAGCCATAAGACTTCGGAGGTTATCTACCATGAACTTTCATCTGTGTCTACGGCTCTACGATGTCGATCAATCCTGGGCACATCTCGTAGAACATGACAACGAAGATGGCAACGATGAAAACCACGACGGCAAGAATAAACATGACAGCTGGACATCAATTCCGATAGTAGAGCCGACCTACCTTGAGGCCGATGGTTTGCACCTCTCTGGTAGACGTTTGCCCATCTACAACAGACCTGGTGGGTCAACCCTGAAGTCTTTGCCATATGATAACCAGAGGCCATCTACGTTTGTAAGTGTGGCATAATAGATAGACGAATCTTTGATTGATAAATAGATAAGAACGTACATCGTGACAAAACGATCCAAAAACTCATGAGGACCTTCACTTCCACCTCTCAGCGCAGGGTTTTGAGAACCGCTCAAGATGGCAAACTCCACGCACAGTCAGATCGCACCGCACCCTTTTTTGCGTGTTTCAGACCCTCCATCGTCATCACCATTCTCCTCCCCCTCCTCGTCCTCGTCGTCGACAATATCAACATCTTCACACGATGAAGTAGAAAACGACGATGATCATAGCAAACGGATAGAGCAATGCGAGGCCATCCTCAACGGCTCCTCATCAGACATCACCGCCGAGGCAAAAGCTCTCGCCGTACTCAAAGCCTTCCGCGAGCAACTCCCGGAGGACGGCCTTCAAAAGTTCGTAGACGATATCCTCGCCTGTGCCAAGCTAGGCGGCATGCCCTATATGCAACAGCTCGGCGACCACCTACTCACAGCCATTCTCATTCCATGTGAGCCAGACGAATCAACTTCCGACCTTTCTAAGTTGAAGGAGATCGCTGATGAGTTGTCCAACTCAGTTAAACTCCTAAGCCTCGGACCGCCCTCTCTAAAACACAGACACGACCTCCTCGGTTCCGTGTCTCAACACGCCAACGGGATCAGGCACCTAAGCGAAACCACTCTCGCCCGCGACGGCCGCCGTTGCGTCTACACCGGCAACATCGATATCCACCATGTACAAGATGATCCCGAGCCCGAGACCGGGCCAGTAGCTTACACTGAGTCCCGCCATATACTGCCTTACGGGCTCAAAGACCACACTCAGGAGATGCCCCGAGAAACCGAGACGAAAAGAGCCATCTGGTGGTCGATACACCGGTACTTCCCCGCCTTGGCCGGCAAGATCGACGGTTCGAGCATCGACCAGCCGGCCAACGTGCTCACCCTGAACGAGAGCGTGTCCTCCGACTTTGGAGAGTGTCACTTGGCGTTTAAACCACTTCCGACGGTATATACACCTTCTCTTCATCCACGAACCATCCGATCCAGATGTTGACCTCTATAATTGCAGGAGAACGAGTACGAAGTCGTCGTTCTGGGGCGCATATCGTCGGGCTACCCGTTCAATACCGGCTACTCAATCACCAAGATGGTCCTCTCAGCCCACAACGCGCTCGGCCTTCCAGATCGCGATTTCTTAGACATGCATCATCGTGTGGCGAGGATGTTGAGCGAGACCGATATTGTAGAAGAGATTCAGAGCCGGCGGGATCGGCGGGACCCTGAAGATTCATGCGTTCAGTCTCCAACGGATGCAGCTCACATCTTTCCGTTGATGCTGACTTGTTTGAGCAATTTGTAAAAAGATTTCAGACTATAAGTTCATGAGGCGCCAACATCTGGAAGCGGCTCTGCATATGCAAGGTGGGCATCACAGACGCCCTTGCGGTGAACGGGTTCCGACCGCGTATGAATCATTCGTATACTGCCATTCCATTTTGACTGCGTACGGGTCGAACACCGCTATAGATTACATAAGAAACGAAAAGACACAAAAGACCATGACTTGATACCGAATCTTTCCCATACTTTGAAGTCTCCAAAGAGGTGTGTGTACGTGTAACGGCAGTTTAAGCTTCCACAGCCCCAGGGATCCCAAGCCTCAGCCATCCATGCCACCTCCAGCCCACCACCAATTGACGCAAACCCGTTGATAAGAAAGGAAGGTTGAAGGCCAAAGGCAAACCGGACGGATGTCGTCAGCAGCGGGAAACTTCGCCCGTCATCTTGGCATCGGTCGGCACCTGGTGCGCCATCAAGGCTTGAAGGGGAAAAGGTTGTGAGTTTGCCTCCCTCGCCCGCATTGATTCAGTTCCCTTTACCCCTCTCCCGAAGTAAATCCCCGAGTGGCTGCAGAGGCCGCCCAGACAATCGGCATGCGAAAGTTGTCCCTCGTATCACAATCAAAAAGAAGGAAGGACTGCTGATTCTTGATGTGTTCAATTAAATATATACCTCCTGTTTCCTAACATGGTGCTGCTGCCATGGCAACAACAGAACAGGTCGTGATCATGACGAAACTTTTGGTGTTTCCTGTCCAATTCGCATTAAGTCTAGAACGTTCAATTGTAGAAATCATCCAACACATCCCAAGTCTTGTTGCGCTAGAAACGAAAACCCCTTTCCCTATCCAATCTGGACATCCCCTTGACACGCTGAAGGCGCTCAGAGGGCGGCAACGATACCGAACAGAGCGGCAACGGCAACACCACCGACGGCAGCAGTAGCCTGGCCGGCGGCGCCGGTAGCAGAGGCAGTAGCGCTGGCACCGGTGCCGGTGGCGGAGGCAGAGGGAGTGCGGCTGCCGGAGAGGGTGGTGCTGGAAGCAGTCGCGTTGCGGGAGGCGGAAGCGGCAACGGAGGCAGCAGAAGAAGCGACGGAGGCAGCGGAAGACGCAACAGAGGCGGCGGAGGTGATGGCAGCGGAGGCAGAGGCGCTGACGGAGGCAGCGGCAGAAGAGAGAGCGCCGGCAGCGGAAGAAGCGGCGGAGGCGGCAGAGCCGGTAGGCTTGGTGGAGCCGCTGGCGGTGGCCAGGAACTTTTGGCAAGCGGCGGCGGCAGCGGCCTGGGCCTTACCCAGGTCGGCGGAGCTGCAGGCGGAGAGCAGGCAGGGAGCGACGGCGGGAACGAGGGCCTCCTGCTTGTCCGAAGCGCACTGGCAGGCGGTGTCGGTCAGGGCGCAGCCAACCTTGGGGATGGCATCGCGAAGGCAGGGGATCTATAGCAAGGTTGTTAGTCGCGTTGTTGTTTACAAGAGGATCGTTGCTGGGAGGAGCGACATACGGCGCAGTCAGGCTGTCCGGAGAAGTCTTGGGCGGCAACGAGGCCGGCAGCGAGGAGGGCGAGAGAGAACTTCATTTTGATTTGAGTTAGAAGACGTGATAATCGAAAGGCGAGATTCGGCAGGTACGATGACGAAGTTGTACAGACGGACGGTTGACGTTGAGATTGATATGCGTGTCGTAAGAGAAGATTCAAAGCAATCGAGGAACGGGAAGGGAAGGGGGTGATAAATATGCGCTTCCACCTCTCAAGCCACCACTTTCACGTACGGAGAACCCCTGCCGAGACCTGCCCATCTCGAAAGACTAAAACCAGGAGGGCTCGCTGGTCCAATTCCCAATTCTGCTGGGCTCGCAAAGCTTATCCCAGGTATGCGCGCCGACAGCCCGCGCCGTCATTGGGGGAAGTGGATGGTGGAGAGGGTGTGCAAGGTAGCTCGTCACGCTTGTTTGGTTTAGCCAGGCGTTAGCTTTGCATTTCTGCTGGGGTCGTCGCCAGCGGCACCACAGAGCTACCGAGCTAGACCTGGACGACTCGCGGTTCAACTGGTCCAGCCGGGATGGTGGCCAGGAACATGCAACCTTGATTCTGGGTTGCCGACCAAAACGAGACGGGCAACTGGGGAAAAAACTTCCACCCAGCACATTAGGGTGACATCCAATTGACTCGACGAGTCGACGGGCTCCTTGAGGCACTTGACTGATGGAACGCCACAGAAGTGTTTTCCTCCTTCTCGAGTCGCAAATAAAGAAGGCCGCGCTTCATATGTCATGTCTTGGGTATCGTGTAGAGCTGATCTGCAGGTCCCAGACAGGACGGACGGCTTGCTCGTCGGGAGGAACAAATAACAACGGGCAATTGGCACCGGCCGTGCGGTATGATTGGATGACAGGTGCTCAGAGAACGTGCCAGCAGCTCAACGGACGCGTTGAAGAGGCTTGGTGGTGGCTTGCAGCTGTGCTGAGACACCCGTATCGACGCCTCACTCGAGCCAGGTGCTAGTACAAGTAAGTAATCTTTGCCACACCCCAGCGGAAAATTACGTACGGATTGAACGTGCCGTCGCAGAGCGTGATTTGATTTCAGGTGTCCTCGCCGAGTCGCGGCGCCGTCACGGTAGCAGCAGTTGCTGAGAGGGGGAGATGGAGACGGAGATGCTCTGACTGCCGGCCAGGTTGGTATGACAGGGCGCGTTGGAGGTGACAAGGGTGGCGGCACTGTCCACCTCAATGAGAAGGAGGAGTGAAGAGCTGCACCGAGCGCCGACCTGTTCAAGAAGGAAGAAAGGGACCCACGACTAAACATCTGATTGAACCAATTTAAACAGAGTTTCGCGTTCGAGGTAATGACTTCCTTGTCAAACAAGAAGCAACAGCAATCTGCTGTGCAGCGCCGACCACCGGACAACCCGGCCTACCAGATGGAGACTTTAATCATACGCAGAAAAGGTTAAAAAAACAAAAACATTGAACCTTGGGAACCGCCTTATCATTCGGGTGTTTTTCTTCTCTGCTGTCTCACACAGCCTGAGGCGGAAGAAATCTTCAACTGATACTCTTACTCAATTAAATTGTTGACCAAGGCCAGGAGAAACCCGATTTCTATGAAGAACACCACCACCCGTCAACATCACCTGTGACCCAAGAGTCTCTCTCACCCCAGGAATTGTTCCTGCATCGCTCTGCCGATCGCTGCTGCGCGCATTCTCCACCCGACACGAGCTCTGATCCTCGCCCGTTGGCTGGGAACTGCCACCCTGCAGGCGGGCGCCGCCTGTGTGTGCCTGGGCCCTTGGGAGACCTTGTCACCTTGCGGCTCCCCGCAACAAACACAACCATCCCCGACATGACAGACGTTCCCCCCGGCATGGACGCCCTTTTCTCCGTCTCCGTCCTCACTGCAATTTCAGCGAGCCAGACCCAAAGCTCCACAATTCGCTCATGCTCACATGTGCGGGCGTGGTTGCGTTGGTTGGCTGGATCCAGTCTCTTGTCTTATGTTCCCCGGGAGCCTTCGGGCCTTCGTCTCCGGGAGACGCTCACGATCCGGTCAAGCTCATGAGCTGTGAAGCTGTAGGACTTAGGCCGCCAGATGTGACATCAAGAGCGTGACCAATGCCGCTTCTGAACATCAATTATTTCAGAAGTAAAAGGGTATCTCGACAAAGTCCTAATCCAACTCCAACATTTCGGCGGCTGTCTCTCGAGGTCAAATCCAGAAACAACGCCTCCTGTGGACCCATCGCGCAAGCTCACCCGTTCGCAGGCGCGATGCTGAAGCTTTCGCTGCTCATTCTCAATTGACCTTTAGAGATTAGTTCCCGAGAATCGACGTAAAACTTGACGCTAGGTTTGCGCTGTGAATGGTAGTCGCGGGCAATGATGAAAACGCTTGTAGTGCCCTTTAGCCCACGCTGAATGTTTGCGTACCTGTCAGTATTAGAATTGGAATTCCTAAAAGAAAATGACAGTGCAAGCTCCTCACCACATTTATTATTTATCTACTTCTTATAAAGGCGAGAGATCTTACTTACTTAGAGCACATGACTTTTCTTTTCTTTAAAAGTAATATACCTTCACCTAGGGAAGACACTAGCTTTAAGCAGTTTCAAACAAACTAGATTGTTTAGAGAAGCTTTAGTGAGTTAATTGTTTAGAAGACAGCTAGATCTACGCATAGAAACCCTTCGTATTATTATCGTTGTCGTCGTTGTCGTTGTCATTATCCTTATCATCCTTATATTGATTATTATTTCCTTATTTTATGTTTTATAAGTGTTTCCAAAGCAAATCTCAGACTGTAATCTAAACCTATGTTGAGTAAGTAAGTTGTGGACTGAGAAGGGCTATTTGGCCTTTAGGGGTGATACGATAAAAACAGGGGACTCTATATCTATGCAAGGTAAAAGTGCAGCTGCTGAGTTGACGGGCTTGCCTAGCTAGACGCAGTGTTACATAGATCACACTGCCTCTCATCTCTATCACCGGGACCGATTGGAACAGATGTTTTGCCGAGGACGGAGGCGACCAGCTCATATGTCGAGTTCCCTTTCTACTGCGTAAAGTTGTGACTCCTTGCTAACCAAGCTCAACATAACAGATTATCCACCGCCCTTTCGATATCGGTAGCACTTGTGACAGAGCCGGCATTTACATGCAAGCACATGCCTCAACCTCATAACGGAATGGATCACGTCCGACTTCAGCCGTTGGTTCTCAGATTCCGTTGATACTTGCAACGCGGATTGAGCTTCCTGGGTCAAAGAGAAGAAACAAGTGAAGCTCAATTTCGGGTGCTTGACTATGAACAGTGGCTCGTGAAGTGGCAAACATACGGTTTCCAGCACATTACGTATCACATAGATATTCAAACGCAATCTGGAGTGGCGCTTGAACGGGGCGAGATGTCTTCTACTGTGAAAACCCCACGACATTACACCTTCAACTACTGTCAATTGGTCAAGCTGTAGGGTTCAGACAATCTGAAAAGTTGTCAAAGCATTTTCAATGCCGCTTTTTAAAGACCAATCAATTCAGAAGTGAAAGTGTATCTCTACAAGGTACTTGTCTATCTCCAACATTCATGTGCACTCTCCAAGGGACACAGGCAGACCAATCCATAGCCAAGGCCTCTTCTATGGACCCGCCCGCAAGCTCATTTGGTCGCAGGTGTAACTTCGTAACCTTCACTCTTAAGATTGAGTCTGCCTGCGCTAATAGAGCGCCAAGGGTCGACGTAGAACTTGACTTCAGTGTTCATGTACCTGTGGCCAAGACGATAGACACGAGCGATCACATAAATATCCGTGGGGATCAGCTCACGCTTCGAGTACTTGCGTGCCTGCAAAAGTCAGCTTCCAAAGCCTTCAATAGATGGAGACATAAGGTACTTACCATATCCATTTGATGCTGGCTCACATGGAATGGCTCACTGACGTCAAACACAGTCCCCGTTACCTCTATGTAGTATGTGATGTGCTTGTCTCCCCAATCTTGAGTATGAGAAGGAAGACCCATGGCAGGAAGCATGCGGCCGTTCTCGTCCGTATACGTGAAATCTGCTGTCTTTGACTCGTCCTCAAGGAAGTCCGGATATCCCTTCTCAACCCGCAACTTGCTGGTCCAGTGTCGAGTAGCGTCCCAGTTCCTAATGCGCGTCTTGAAGTATTCGTTCATCTATACCATCGTCAGCCATTGGATCTCATCGTCAAGGAGTACTGATTTACCCAAGCTTCCCCAAGTACACCAACTTTCTTGAAGCGGTCTCGATCAATAGTGGTATGTCCATTGGGTCTTGATGAGCAAGCAGACGTAGTCTGGCTCATCAAATTGACAGGCTGAAGAGCCTTCTTTGCCGTTGTTGATGTCGCCGGCGAAATAGTGGTGACATTAACCGTTCTCGACTCAGTGGTGGTCTCCCCAGGAGTCTCCTCAGACCAAGGACACCGGATGCCAACCTCTTCCAGCAGATCTCCCATCTCGCTAAGCTTCGCTCCCAGGATGTCACGAAGCTGCGTGACATGCTCTGGCTTGGTGATTTGATATTGGTCGATGAAGAGCTTCGAAAGCTCCCGACTGACCCGTCTATCTTGGTTATCGAACGGATCGCGCAGGACATACACGTCAATGAAGCCATCCGTATGCTCGATGAGAATTTTGCCGTCTTCAGATAAACCATGGATCTGGCCAAGTTTCCTACGAACCACAATACTCGAGACTTGCGAAAGTCGATACACTGGAGCATTCTCGGTCGTAGAACCGTCCGTGTTGTTTCCAAGCCTATCGAATGATCAGTATCACGAACAAATAGCATCCAAATTTTGAGGATGGACGTACAAGGATGCGAATTTTGCTCTCCTTTGAAGAGATTTAGACCAGTTATTGATTAACACAGCTGGGCCGATAGTACTGCTTGACTCCTTCACCGCTGTGCTCAATAGAAGGCGGTCGATATCAAGCCATTTGACCAAAGGGAAAAGTTTGTCAATATCTTTCAGAACATCAAAGTCGAGAATTTCGACTCGTCCTAGAAAGGCGCTCCTCAATGCACTTTGATCTGCAATGTACCAATCATCTGCGAGCGACCGAAGTTTGACAACCGATGGCTGGTCCGAGGAGCGAGTATCCGAGATAACCGGAAAGATCTTCAGGTTTCTGATCTTTTCTAGCAGTCCAGCATCGTTCGCTGCATTAGATGATTTCCGCTGTTGAAGATACTCACTGAGAAGGAGGATCACACTCTTCAACACTTCTGTATCTTCAGGTTGACCTGAATGTTTGAAGGTTTCCAGCTCTTGAATTACCTCACGCATTCCAGCATCTTTTATTCCCAGTCGACCTGGGAAGAGACCGTCACACTCAGGATATACCTCGCAAAGTGCTCGAGTATGTTTAAGAACAGCAGGACTCTTCCATACACAATCTTTTGGCGTTACCCATCCTTGGTCTGGATGGAAAACTAGACGTCTTGATTCGAAATATTCCCTGATATCATCAGCTAGCGAAATTTGGGACATGAAAGGTACTTACACGGTTGAATTCAACATCATTGATCTGTTCTTGGCCAGGTACTCATAAATGGGATGGACCGTCTCCAAGGTATTTTCGTGAGTTGTAACGCGACGCAACACTTCAAGCTCGCGGATGCGTGCCTCATCTTTGGCCTCCACAATGACCGAGAAGTTCGACAAAAAACGCCACTTCTCGTCGTTGGGCTCGGGAATGTCTGCAAAATTGATGTGAGGGCACGCTTCGAGGAGCGAACTTGACGGTATAGGGGTCTCCTGCAGCTCGCGGACTTTCCCACCTCGGCAAGGCACAAGCAGCTTTTTGGCCGCTGTTATCAGAGTACGTCGATTGGCGGCGTAGTGCGCCCAATCGTCCCTCATCAGCAAGACTAGATCCATCACGGCGTGCTTGCTCAGCCACTTCCATTCTCTTGTTAGTCTGTCTTCGTTAGAATCCCGGTGGTAGAAGGTGAGCCTTGGCTTTGTTGCCAGCTGACACAAGTCTTGCCCTGTTAGCCACTGATGAAAGGGGTCTGTCTTCGCCGAGGTTTCCGTCTCGCCACTTTCGGGTTCTGTGGCAATTGCAGCGACCTTGGCGCCAGAGTTTTGTTGAGTCTGCTTGAGTCGTTCAAAGTAATCATGATGAATGACTTTGATACCAGCATCAGGAATATGCTGATATTTTTCGATGATTTGCACGACTTATCGGGGCCGATTAGATAGATGTCTGAAGCACGTGTGACTTCTTCACATGAAGTCACCAGCCAAATGCGGCTCCAGGAGGTGACTCCTCTGGTCTGTTTCCAGTTCAGGAACAAATAAACAGCCTCTTCGATGAGGCTGGTTCTGTCTGCTTCCCGTGGCTTCTGCTCTCGATGCAGTCCAAGAATTTTGTAGCAAATTTTGGCGGCATCAATGCTCTTGATTTCTAATTCTCGGAAAAGACGAGCACGGTGTGTATTCTCGTTCGCCATCGGGTCAACAAATTGAAGCCCGAGACTGGAGGGCGCAGTCCATGCATCGTTTGCAGAGACAGAATACAGGTTCTCGGAGGACGCCGGGACAAATTCTCCATAAAGTGTCGGTATTATTGGCAGCGACCGCAACTTTCTCCTGTATGAGTAGACTCTGACCAAAATTTGTGCCGCTCGCTCATGCCATTCGTGGGATTTCTCTCCCATCTCAGAGGTAGAGGTCTGTCTTTCAGTTACCCACTGAATGAAATGTTTCACGAACATCTCGTCGTTCATAATCGAAACCCCAAGGCGTCGAAGACTACTTGTGAGGCACGTGGCGTCATGTGGAAGGTATTCGAAAGCAAGATGCCGTTCAGAACAGAAGTCGAGAAGAGGCTCGCCTTCCAATCGGTACTCTTTTGGGATGAAGATTAGGTCTGCAGGTTTTCGGGTATCCCCCAATCTGTTGCGAAGGATTGGATGAAGTCGGAGGTGAGGAGTGAGCTGTTCGTCAAGTCTTTTCCAGAATGGGTCGTAGGAAACGTTGTATTCCAAGTAGCGTAGCCACGAGTAACGAAGACATCCCTCAATCTTGTTGAAACGATCAACTGCCTGCAGAAAGGCTGCCGGAATGGCATCTCTTAGCTTATTATTCCAGGCATTTCCCGCTGAAAGACCCTCTCTGCTAGCAAGTAGAATAAAATCTCCCTGGATCAAGAACTGAAAGAATGTCAATTGTATGTAGAAGATAGTGGTCCAGATCATCTTACAGGGAATCCATGGCAAGCGACAGCTAGAAACGAGAAGACATGCTGTGGATGGAATTCCGGCTGACCGTACTTGTTCAGGGGAAACGCGAGCGTAATTTCCGATGCGGATATACCTGCTCGCTTCTCCTCGTTTGGCATATCGTTCACCATCGTTCGGGTGATGAGAAACTTCTTGTTGCGAAATGATTCGCCTTGCTTCTGGCAGTCAATGGTCTTGGTCTCACCTTGAAGCTTCTCCTCATGCTCGTTGTGCATCGCCAAGTAAACTGTGGTTTCCTGCCCCTTGTATATGGAAATGGATCTCAAGCGACGCAGAAAAAGCAGTATCTCAGGCTTAATCTTGGTGAGCTCTTTGGAGATCTTGTCGTATTGTTCTATGCCCTTGAGAAGCAGTGTCATCCGTGTCGCTGAGCGATCGTGCTCGTGGTACTTTGACGCTGGGAAATCGGCTGTCAAAGGCAGCAGTGTTCCGACCATACCGTTGCGTTTGTCCAGCTTGAAGCTGTAGAATCCGCTCTTGATGTACAATACATCGGCGACTTTGAAGACAGCCTTGAAGCCAATACCCTTCTCGCCGATGTAGCCTGTACGTACGTCCTTCTCGTTCTTCTTCGTGCTACTCGCGATTCTGCAGAGAGCGTCAATCTGATCGACTGTGAAGCCCACTTCGTTGCATCCGGTCTGGAAAGTGCAGTCGCCATCATTCTTGTCCAGTCTCATACCGAAGCTGGGTATGGTGCTTGCGCCGTATGCGTTGTCGTCCGCATTCTGGATCAGCTCAAGGATGAAGTGCGTATCTTTGTTGTACAGCTGCTCGGACAGAACTGTCAAAGATCCGTCGAATTGGTCAATCTCAAAATCATCGCTTTGGTTGTTCGCGTCTGTGCCGGTCTGCTGTCTCAGTAACTCCCGTTGCTTCAGGCGTTCTCGTGGCTCAAGCAGCTTCCGAAGTTGGGCGTCGGCTTGTGCTCGATTCTCAGGCCGGGCTTTCCATCCAGGAAGGACTGCTGTAGCGACTTCTCCGTCCATTTTCAGCAAATAATTTGGATGTCTCAGGATCGGTTGGCCATGGGGGTTGGGTTGGAAAGAGTGACCGTGAGGTAACTTAGGCAAAACACTAGCCAGAGAAGTAGGTGGAGCGGTCTGAAGAGGAAAGATTCGGGAAGAGGGATGTGAAGATTCGGGCAGGCGGAAAAAGAGGAAAAGGTGAGGGCAGGGTGGGAAAATGGGAGCCATAGGTCGCGGGTGGGAAGGTGAGTTTGGGAGGGTGAAGGTGAGAGGAAGGGAAGCAAAATCGAAAGCAGACGACTGGAGTGGCAGCAAAGGTGAAGTAGGCAGGCGGTATCAAAAAGTGACAAACGCTAACTAGACTTATAAGGAAAGAAGTCTTTGGCGGCAAGTGCTTGTGGTAGAGCCCGCCTTCCTTAATTGCTAACATAGAAGGCGCCCGTCGCATATTTCCCAGGCGTAAGAAAACATACCTAGAGAGGTGATTCAAAACCCCTACTATCTTGCTCAATAGCTAGAGCAGATATCTCTATATTTCATTTTTATGTAGCTATGTTTTTACTCTGCTGTATCCAATTGATATCAAATCTAGCAATAAATTTAAATATATGATCACGTAGAACATATCAACAAGGACGACGACAAGGGCGAAACTAACGATGAGGACGATAACGACAACAAGGACTATAATAGGGATAACAACGACGAGAATAATAACGACAACAATATTAGGACTGGCACTAGATATTAATGAGCCTATGAAATGAAAGATTGTTGCTATAGCACAGTGAAAATGGCATCGATCAGAAGCGGTCCTCAACCTCCATCGCTCCGGTCTCACACGTTCTTATTCTCCATCCTCGCCTTCCTCAAATCCTCCTCAATCACCAAGCCCGCAAACAAGATAAAACGTAGAATGATGCCAATGCAAACACTTCCCCCCACAACCTTGATCAATGCAGCAACCACCCAGGCCGAGTGCTTCATGTCCTCAAGCTCCCGAATCTGGGCATCCTTGCTCTCGGCAAGCTTCAAGTACGACTTCAAGTTGTTCTCACACTTCCTCTTAGAGTCGTGCTTCGCTTTCTCGAGGTTTCTCTTCGCCTCAGCCTCAAGCTGCTCTTGGAAGCGTACATTCCGCTGCTGCCATCGCTCCAAGGTTTTGTTGTTCTCCGTCAGCCGCTCGCTCATCTTCTCGTACCGCGTCTGCGCGATGCGCCTTTCCGCGTCGGACTGACCCAGCTTCGCGACCAGGCGTCTGTTCTCTTCGTCGGCCTTTTGGAGTCTTTCTACCAGGTTTCTGTTCTGGGCCTGGGCGGTGTCGACTTCGTTGCGGAGCTTTTGGATGATGGCCGAGATGGTGCTATTGGTCGCCTCGCGTGGCGGTGTTGTTGCGAAAGCTCTGGCGATTCCCAAGGAACCCCGACGAGGAGGATGGAAGATGCTCTTTGAAGGGAGGCGAGCAACGGCCAGGCCACTTTGTTCGTGCAATCGAAATGTAAGGGGGCTCCTGGCCGCGAGGCTGAACAGCCTGCAGGCGCTGTGGCATGAAAGCATCGACATAGTTTCTGGTCTTTCGATTGAGACGATCGCTCGATCGAACTGGAGATTAGGTAGCAAGAAGTTTTCAAAATGAGAAACTCGTGTTTAGCTACACCCATTGAAATTAGCAAGGTCGCCAGGAAACAAGCTTGATGTCCAACATGTATGGATACTTGACACCTTCATGGTCAAAGACGGCACCAAAGGGGCGAAATGCAAAGCATTGACGATAGAAGCACTTTTCAGACTGACTTGAATCTCATCTTTATTTCATCGACATGAATCCATATACTTCGAGCAGCGCAAAACAACTCTCCACAAGACTCAAATTAACGCCCACAATCAGATCGAAAATAATCTCAAAATGTTGAGAGTTTTCACCAACATCGTAATTAGGGGATCTGGGAAGAAATCTCCTGCTCTAAAATCCCCCTTTCGACGGATCATTTCCTTTCACACAACTCCTGCGCCTCAGCCGCAGCTCAGGCACCACGAACTTGGACAAAATTCCACGAAACCCGACGCAAAAGTAGATACAAATGCCTTGTACGCCATGAACATCAAACAACGCTGGGGTTGGGGAGCTCTAGACGGCGCCATGTTCGTCGTGGGCTTATTCGGAGGTTACCACCTCACAACATTCTGCCTCGAAAAGATTATCAAAAAGGGCCAGTCACAGAACGACCGTAAATCGGGTTACGCTTGTATGGAAGAGGCCATGAAGGAGGACAAGAGCATTAACAAATCAAACGCGGGCTCTTGCGGACGGAATACTGACCCTTGCCGATCGGGTTGCCAGGGAGAGTCGTGTGTTGGCTCGGCCTACCCTCACGGTGTCAACAGGTGGATCTAGGCGCTCTGAAATATTCGGGGGACGATGACCGGAGGGGTGGCACGTCTTTCACGTAGATCCGTCTACTACGAATAGGTACCATTAAAATGTCCAATGTTGTCTCCGATATTTCCTATCATGTGCTCTGCTTGACTTCGAATTGAAGAAAGATTAAAGAAAAACAACAAACTCTACATGCTGTAACCAGTAAATAGCCAAACTATTCAATGCAGATGTTGCCACCCGACCTTATATGGCAGGTGCCGAAGCTGAGTACCTGGTGAGTTTAACGCTTTCTCCTCAATACTTAAGGCATCCATGATATTGATGTTGAACTTGCCACGGCATTCATCCCCGTCCAAGGTATAGCGATCAGAACAACACCAATACACACCCAGAGTAAAGCTCAAAATCAAAAGCCATGTTTCGAAACCTCTTTCGCGGCTCCCAACGAGCCATCACCACCCTTGCCCGCCCAAGCGCATCACGCCAAACACCAATGCTCTGTCGAGAAGCATTGACTCGGCAACCAAAACAAATTCAACGACCATACGCAGCCTTCAGACCCCTTGCCTGTACAAGGCAATATTCCTCCCAACGCAAAGTCACAGTCAACAGCGGAACCGACGTCAACGGGGGGAACGGAGCCAACGACAAGAGCGACAACACCACCCAAAGAGGCATTATTTGCCGAGTAGCAGCGAGCGCTGAACGAAAGAAGCATCTCGCGCTTATTTACCGAGTACCGGAAAGAGCCGGTCGACAGAATCAGCTGGCGCGCATTCACCGAGTGCCACCAAGAATTTACCGGAAACATCAGCTCGTATTGCCAACCACACGTCAGATGATACAGATGGAGAAAAACGCACGCGAGATAATCGAGGCATTGCGCGATACAAGCGCGAAGTTGGACATGTTGGAGAAGTTGGACAAATTGGATAAAAACAACATGAATTTGGACAAGTTGGATAATATCAACATCAATTTGGAGAAAATCATCATAAATCTGGACAAAGCTCAGAAGCAGGACAAATACACGTTCTGGACGTTGGTCTTCGCGATCATTGTTATGGCTTTCGTCGGCGCGATGTCAGACCCGGAAAAACCCGACAAGGAGGAGAATGAGGCGGGAGGAGAGATTCAATCGAACACCAGACCTACATCAAAGACAGACCCAGATCGTGTTTCTTGAACGGTCCTTAGGCTGCCTTTGGAGACGAGGATGTCTATACAATTGCGTAAACAGTAGCACTTTTAGCCCCTCTTAGACGCAGCTTGTGACCATGAGAGTATACTCCACTCATCCATCTACAAGCAGAGAACAAAATAGAAATCGGGTGGCTTCCATAGTTCCTTCTCAGAATTTGTAAGCCCAAGATAAAATGTCATGGGGCTCTTATTTTCTCCAGTCAGGTATGATCGACCTCAATGTCCCGACTCCAAGGTATTCAAAAGACCCCCATTCCTCCTGTCGTAGAGCGAAAGTATTTCTCGTAGACTCATTCTTACTCTACTGACATCTTCCGTTATCATCTCTGCCTATCGTCTTATTCGACATGCCGCCGAAGCAATGTTTACACGCCTACGTCGCGGCTCCTCGAGAGCCATCACCAAAACCATCACCAGCCGGGCTTCAAACTACAAACCTCAAGTCCCATCCCGCCACCCCATATTCAACCCATCAACCGCCTTCCAATCTCTCCCCAGACGACAAAACTTCTCCTCCGAAGCACCCAACGCATCCCGCGAGCGGCTCGGCAACAAAGACGCCCTAGAAGCCACAAGAAAAGCCTACGAAGCGCGCCGCCTCACCCTCCAAACAGAAACCCAGAGGAAGCTGGACGCAGCCAAGGAGCAGTTCCAAAAAGAGATCGAGACACACCGGACGGAGCTGGGCTACGCCAACCCGGGACGGGACACAACCGAGTCCGCCCTGGATTTCATCCGCCGCAAGCCCTTGGTCGCAGTCGATCTGCGCGAGAGCGCGCCGACGTGCAAGTGGTACGTCCAGAAACTGGAAGAGGCCGCCGCCTCGGAGAAGGAATGGAGGGCCTGGAAGTGGGAGCAGGTTCGTCAAGGTGCTTTCTTTACGGTGATCTTTTTGGTGTTGAACAACGTGGCGGATAGCGTGTTGAACCACTATGGGATCCGTCACGCCCGCTCCCCTCCGGCAAAGACGATCGAGGTGGACAAGAAGGGCGAGGAGGAGAAATCTGTTCGCGACGTGGAAGTGGCGACGGTCACGGCGAAAGAGTGAGTAGCCTGAGCCTCGACTTTGTTCATACATGCCCGATAAGTTGTTCAACAACACGACTCTTGAAGTGGCTTGTCGTGAACGTGCCCGGGTACTCACGAGATAGGGGCGGAGGAGCAAACAGCCAGTTACATATAATTTTAGAACCACTCTATTCACATCTATTGATTCATCAAATCCCTTCTCTCAACCATCGTCCCACAGTCGTCGACTCATAATAATAGGCCTCGCAGGATCCCACGGGCCGTAAATCTCATTCTTGTACTTCTGCAGCCCAATCAGCCACCAACTGCACCCGCCCATCGCAATGGCCGCAATGAGCACACCAACAACCATGCCAATACACGCGCTCTTCCACGGCCAGCAGCACCCGCCGGCGCCGTGATGGTCCCC